TTCCTACACTCAAAAAAAAAAAAAAAAAAAAAAAAGTCTCTCTCCAGCACCTACCACACACTTCTTTTATAATGTTGCTGAATCCCTCATGGCTCCTGGACCCCATAAGGAGGCGCCTTATGCTCGGGCTTGGTCCCTCATGCCTTTGTACCTACCATTCCCTCTAGCAGGAGCCTCTACCAAGCCCCTTCTTTTGCCTGCTTACCTTTTTTTATTTTCAGATCTGCTGTTTGAACATCAGTTCCTCTAAGACAAATTCTCTGACCCTCCCAAACATGGACCGTGGGGCCCCCAATCGGCTGTCTGTGCACTTTGTACTTGTCCATGGCTGCATTTATCCCTCACACGGTTCCACCTGTTTCCTCACCTGTGTCTCCCACTAGATTCTAAGAAGATTGGGTCTAGTGTACTCACCACCACAATCTCAAGTACCTAGTACAGAGTTGGTACACCGTACTCAAAAAACCAATTATTTGTTGAACAAACGGATGGATGGATAGATGGCACGCCCGCTCTTGACAAAGGTTTGCTAACTTGTCTTCTTTGAAAACCTACAGAATAGCTTCCTGGGAATGGGGCTTCCTTGGTGCTGAGTGCACACCGAGACTGGGATCTTTCTACACATCCTTGGAACGGGTCCTATCGCTCTTCTGGAAAGGGCAGCTACATCTAAGGCAAGGCCAAGTACTGAAGATGGTGAACTAGATCAGGAGATGACTCAAGCCTAACAACAACTCAGCTGAAGCATGAACTCCAGACTGGAACAGATTCCAGACTAGGTCTTGAGTCTTCTTCCGTTTTTTTTGTTTTGTTTTGTTTTGTTTTGTTTTTTAAGTAGGCCAGCATGGAGCCCAATGCGAGGCTTGAACTGATGACCCTGAGATCAAGATCTGAGCTGAGATCTGAGCTGAGATCAAGAGTCAGACACTTAACCAAGTGAGCCACCCAGGCACCCTACTGAGCTTTCTTCCTTTAAGGTGAACTGGAGATATCCTTCCAAGGAAGGGATTCTCACTCGGAGAGAATGAAATGATGCCGGGCTTTCTGTATCCCCACCTTCCCCCTACTCTCAAGGCCCAGTCCGGTGCCAGGCCCAGAGGATGGTCAATGAGCATGTATCCATTAAACAGCATTGCAGGCATACCGGCTTCCCGAAACCAAGGATCTCCTCCTCTATGTACTGCCAGGCCTTGGCTGTGGGGGTTATGGTACAGGTGTTCTCCACAATCGAATAGCACAACACCAATAAGGCCTCTACGTGAGGCATCTGCAGGAGGCTGCAAGAAGACAGCACTGGCTGGTGGGGATGGGACAGAGGACCGGAGCAGAAAGCCACATCCACTCTTTTCCCCTCCCCTTTGGTGTCCGCTCTTAGTCACACACATTCAGCATGCCGACGGAGCTTTAGAGGCCTCCGGCCCAACTGCCTCCTTTTAGAAATGAGGAACTGAGGTCCAGAAAGGGGAAGTAATCTTCCTCAAAGTTGCAGTGTTCATCAGAGGCAGAGACAAGACCAGACCCCAAGCCTAGTAGCTTCGGGAACAGGAGCTACATCATGTAGAGAATGGGCATCTTAGGGTAGCACTCAAGCCAATGACTGGTGACAGAACAGGTGGGGCAGACAGCTGCTAGGTGGCCCAGAAGCTGAAGCAGGCCTTAGTGGGTCTTGGAAGCCAAAGGCAGGGACAGGGAGCTTCTCCTTCCCAAAAAAGGCAGCAGGGAAGGTAGGGCTGGTGGGGGGAGTCAGAACCATCTGTACCTGTCACGGGTTGGCTTTCTCCAGATGGGTTCTTCATCATACAGATCATTCATTTCATCCATTTCCTGGGCCGACCGAATGAGCTCCTGGATGTTTTCCATCATCATAGGCGTGGACTCCACCTCCCGCACCCGGGGAGTGAAGGAGAAAGGGTTGGAAGACATAAACTCAGACTGGAACTTGACCTCTGGGTCTGACTGCAGCCCAGCCATGGCCTCCAGCCCCTCCTCTGTCCCCTGTCCTTCCTCCTGCTTTCCCTCCTCCTCCAGCTCCTCCTCTTGTTCCTCCTGCTCCTGCCCTTCCTCCTGCTTATGTTCTTGCCCTTGCTTGTGCTTGTGCTCCTGCCCTTGCTCGTGCTTGCGCTCGGACCCCTGCTCCTGGCCCCCCAGGGACAGGGAGGATTGTAGCAGCTCCTCCACGTTGTTGTTGAGCCTCTCGGGCCAGGGCTGGAAGGCCTGTCGTTCTGTGGCTGCAGCAGGGGTTGGGAGGGACCGAGAAAGAGAACGGAAAGGAACAGTCAGGTTTCTGGCCCCCGAGTGTCTTTGTTTACAGGGAGACGCACACAGACACAACAGCACAGGACAGCAGCCCAAATGACACTTACTTGCACCGTGCAGCACACAAAACGTGGGGGTACAAATACCACAGCAAAAGAATAATTACCACGGCGATTGTGGCGTCTCCTTTCCACCTCCCTTACAACTGCTCCTCTTCCCTAACTCCCATCTCAAATCCCACCTCGCGTCCCTCTCACTGAGGCAACACCAAAGATTCTGAAAAGCGAGCAGCTAATCCTTTTGAGAGTGAAACTGTGAGCTTATGAAAGTCCCAGAGGACTTCCAGACGCAGGAATGTTTGGGGGAGCTAGGAAAAGTGAATTTTTCCTAGAGTTGTAAGCACTGTCAGATGATACTCTGGGAGGGGAAAGCCCTAACTTGTATTCATAAAGAGCAGGTTCCTCGCTTACATAAATAGCTGCCTGTGGCCAACCCCCTACCCTGCTCAATGTTCTTCCCCATTTCCTACCATGGATGCCTTAACTCTTAACTCTGGGGCTCTGGGATTTGTGGAAGGGCTTGCTGGTAGCCTCCCAGGGGCTGGGAGGGTCTCACCTGTGACGTGAGAAGAGAGGGGGGAGGTCATCGTGGTGGGTGGGATGTCAGAGGAAGCGTCAATCTCCTTGAGAGTGTTGGGTGAGAGGATTGAGACTGGCTGGGAGCACCGGACTCTCTGCAAGAAGAGAAGGACAGTGGGCATGCCTTTCCCAAAGGGCAGACTTCTACTCCCGCATACGCCTCAGTCCTCTTCTGGCATGTGTCCTCTCTCACGGTTGCTGGGCAGGGATGAAGGGATATGGTCCCTGGTGGAACCCTCTAGACCTGAGAAAGGGTTCCCCTGTGAGATAAGACTCTGTGTCTAGGCCACACCTCTGCCTTCACTCTGGTGTTTGACTTGAGTGAAGTCACTCAAGTGTTGGAAGAAACGGGAGGGCTTGTCTCTTGGCCTCATCCCTACTTTTCTCACAGTAACAAGATTGTTCCCCAAATCTGAAAGCCCAAGGCGAGACCGTATTCATGTGTAGTCTGAGCACATGACTGGCAAAGAGGCAGGGAGGGAGGATCTAAGGATGGCCTCTGGTGGAACCCTTCCTCAACTCCTCACCCCCTCCACCTCTCCAGAGATCTTAGGACACCAGATCCAACCTTCTTCTGGAGCCTCACCTTGGCGTAGTAGACGTGGTTGGAGCAACGATACTGAGTAAATTGGCAGAAGGACTCAAACCAGGAGGCATAAGGGAGGTCGGAGCAGACAGCGCCTGAGAATGGCAGGGGGTACAGAAAGTGAACACACTAGGGGGATCTCCCTCCTGGAGGGGGCTGTGGGTTCCTATGGTCGGCAGAGTGGAGAATATGGCCTCAGGGTAAGGTGCAGCCCATACCCTTCCCTGGTCTCAAGTGAGCACGGGGCTGCCCCACTACTCTGGTCCTCACCGTCGGGCACCAAGCCGTGATTTTCGTATTGGTCCAGCTGGACGAGGGTGGGGTTCCGGCAGCCGTGCGTTGCACGGAGCCGGCAGGTAGTCTCTGCCTTCCAGGTTGGGGTCAGCAGTGCAAAGAAGCGTTCATATTCGGTGGCAGAGAGGGGGCTGCCTGGAGTGGAGGCCGAAATTGAATCCTGGGCTGGGGAAGATGTCGGAAGCAGGAGCAGCACTGCGGGGCAGGGAAACAGACGGATGGATGGACCGAACTCCAAAACCGGCTCCGGTCCCTGGACAGACCGAATGGCAGGTGGGGCCCCGTGGAAATTGGAAACTGGGGGATGTCTGGCCGGCGATCAGGGTGAGGAGATTCCAGGGGCAGAGGCTAAGGTGTGACCCCAGAAGTAGCTAGGGAGCAAAGCCAACGCGACCACCCTGAGAAAGCGTTTCAAAACCCTGCAGCAAGGGCTCTTGGGGGTCCGAGGACGGAGCCCCGGGTGAAAGAGACTGCTCCAGTGGGCGGGAACCTCTCACCCTTCAGGAGTGAGAGAAGGAAGCCAGCGAGTAGTTTCCTCATGGCCCCAGTCGATCCGCCCGCGTTTCCCGGACCAAAGCGGCCTCTAACGGGCCAAGCCAGAGACAGTCGGCGGGCGCGGGCGCGGGCTCGCCTACGCGGAGTGGAAGGTGCGGCCCAGACGTCACAAAGGGCTGGGGGCGGGGCCTCGGAAACTGACGCGCGCTCCGGGGTTCACCGCGCCAGCCGGGGTGGATGGGTCCGCACGTGTTATATTACAACTCGAGAGGATAAGGATGGCAAAAGCTGTCATTGACTCGGTACCTTCGATGCGGTGGGACATGTGTTGTTCTCTGCACGTGTTCCCTTATTCCCAAGGTAATCCCATAAAGCGGATACTATTATCCCTATATCACAGGTGACAAAACTGGGGTTTGGATAGGCCTAGATGTGAATGTAGGCAGGGTTCTGGGGCAGGCAGGGACGGAATGTACAAAACAAGGTCCGGGTCTACCTGCGTGGGAACTAAAGAGGGGCCCTTAAGGTAAGAAATGAGCCAAAAGGGGAAGCAAGCAGGGTCCAGGTGAGGAGGTGCTCAGGCGTCAGGCTGGTTCAGTCTAAGGAAGTGGTTTCCCAGTGGGAAGTGAGCAAGACAATCCATCCTCATACGGGAAAAGTGTTTTTCTGTTTTGTGTTTAAAACAAGAAACCAAGCTAATAGTGTAATAGTACATGCACAAAACACAAATACATGTTTATTGGAAATCAAGTGAAAGATGGTTTACGGAGAAAAGATGCATAATTGTAAAAAGTTTTGGAAAGCCCTAGAGGCACACCCCCCAGCCAGCTTTGTCCTCCCCAAGGTGAGAAGTTGTGGACTCTGGAGCAGGGGTACCACTTCTGGTTCTATGTCTCGTTCTACTTCTGACATTGTCATCCTCCCCCCTCTAGTCCAACCCGGAGGATGCAAAAAAAAGTTTAATTAGCACATGTACTAAAATAGTGTCTACAGTAAACACAGCAGACCAACACGCAGAGCTTTTATTCACCTACTCAAATTCCTTTACATGTGAGCGATCTGCATTCCACCTTGCCCCCTCTCCCATTCACAAGGCCAGGATGAATCCTGTTGGCACAGAGGAAGGGGTGCCCCTTCAACTAAGGCCACTGCCCAGATGCTCTGGGGGCGCCCCTACCATGGAAAAAGCAGGAGGAGAACAAAGAAAGCTGATCACACCACAGCCCCCCACAGGGGGAGGGAATTAGGAGGGCTGGGGAGTGCCCCCATGCTACTGCCCCAAGTCCTTAAATACAAAGCAAGGGGAGTAAAGAGGACCATCCCTCGGAAATACAGCACCAACCTCGGCATGGAGGCGAAAGGACAGTGGGCATAACCACTTCCCTCTGAGGGGGGCAGGCTGAATGAGAGCACAAACAGTTAGCGGCTGCAGCACCCCTCCCTACCAGGGTTTGGATGCAGCCTCAGCACCAGGAGTGGGGAGAGGGAAGGAGAAGGGGTGACAACACTGCGCCAACCGCTCTCCCTGAGCCCCTGGGCCCCAACACAGGCTTTCCTCTCCCCACTAGCCCGGGGCCGGGGACGTGGAAGAAACTGTGTGGGAATCCAAGGCCCTTATCTATTTCTTCTTCCGTTCCTGGGAGCAGCGTGGGCAGAACCTAGAAAGCAACGTGATAGAGAGGCGGGCAGAGAAAGTGAGTGAAAGGGAGAGTGCCCTCCTCCACGCAGCTCCTGGGCAGCCCAGCGCCTACCGCAACTCTCTCACTCACCATTTCCCCCGAGGCTTGGTCGTCAGCCCCACACAGGCAAAGTGGAACCACTCGATGGAACACTGAAAAGGAGGAAGACGGAAGAAGCAGAAGTCAGGGGCCAGGGAAGGGCAGAGGAAAGAAAAGAAGTTCCCTCCACAGATTCCTGAGAACAGTGTTCCCGTATTCCGTATTCTCTTTGGAGAATACCTCTTTGGAGGTCCCGAGGCCAACCAACTCCGCCTTCCTCTTATCCTGGAGTCCCACTATTCAACTATGTCTTCCCCTCTTGTACCCACTCCCTCATGGCCCCCAGAACCCCATCTGGAGGCAAAATGGTTGGTTCTCACATCAGGGTTGTCACAGCCAATCATCTCTCCATAGGAGACCTGGTGACAAAGGCAATAGGTGGGTTCGTTGGGATCCACAGGCATATCCAACACATCAGAGGGGTGAACACTGCCAAAGGTCACTGAGGGCATCCCATACTCAGGACTTCTGCATGCCAAGAGGAAGAGAACATGTCATCCACAGGCAGGGAAACTACACAGGTGGTAGAAAGACATCCTGGTGGGGCAAGGGATTTGTGGCTTCTCTTCTCCATCCAGCAGATACCACAGGGATAAGGAGAAGTTACTGGCACAGAAGACAGAGAAAGTGGCAAGGGGCAGCGTGAGGCACGAGCGTGGGGCGGGAGAAAAAAAAAATACGTCATTTGGCAAAGCGCTCCCTTATACACTCACGTGCGCACAAGTTTTAACTTCTTTTGGGCAGCCTTGGGAGCCTCCTCATCTGAGTTTTTCCCTTTGGAACGAGCACGGGCAGCTTTCTTCTCCTTTTGAGTCCGGCCTTCTAGGAAAGAGGGGGGAAGCCAGAAGGCAGGGAGACAGAAAGATGGGTTAACTCTTCCTTCCTCCACCTCCTTCCACGCGGCTGCCCCTCCCTAGGAGCTGAAGAGCTGCTTCTTCTCCCTCTGAATCCTCGCCCACCTCTCAAGCCCCGCCCCCCTCCTCACTCTTTTTGCCTTTGCTAGAAGAGCTGTCATAGTCACTTGACTCAATCTGCTTCTCCTTCAAATCAGCCTCAAAACGGGCCAGGTCTGTGTCCAGTCGCCGAATGTGTTTGTCCACCTAGGTAGAAGGAAGGAAAAGAGAGAGGTACAAGGGTAGTTCCAGTAAAAGACAAAAAAGCTAAGGCGGATTCTATGTATCTCCCAGACCCAAAACAGATCCCAATACAGCTGAAGGAGGGGTCTAGGACCCCAAGGATTAGATGGGAGGTAAGTGGGGAGCCGTGAACAGGGCCATACCATCTCATAGGTCTGCATGGCAAGCTGCACCTTGTCGTCACCAAATTCCTTGCACTTGCCATAGGCTTCCTGGATCTGTTTGAGAAGGGCCAATTTTTCCTCGGAGCTCAGGCTGCGGGCGCTACTCATATACTCAGTGGCCAACTTGTCAATTTCAGCCTTCAGGTCTACAACAGAGACAGAGGCCTGGTCACTATGGCCCCTGAGTGGCTAGGTGAAACACACTTCTTCCTCTTGTTTCTTGGACCTTTTCCACTGATCATCATAACCTTCGAACTAAAATGCCCTGAAAGTTCATAGGTACTGTGCCATTTACTCAAGTAATGCAACATATTGACAGTATTTGTCTTAGAGGTGCCTTCAGGTGCTGAAAACATGGCTAGCACCATTGGAACTTAAAATTATTGAAACATAAGGAGGGAGGGAGCCTTTGCACACCACACTAACACCAAAGTATATTTTTGTTGATGTCTGAAGATGCTTCTTTGCAGGGCTGGCTGCTTCTCGAACCATGAATTTTGTCTCACGGCCTCCCGATTCCTTGTCTCAAAAACATTCCGCAACAGCTCTGAGTGCTACGAACCCGACTGGGTCATCTGCTGCTGCCGGCTTCCAGGTCTGTACATCTGTGACTCATCATTTAAAACTAGGCCCTAGTTCATTTATGTAACAGTTCTTCTACCCTATTTTGCTCATCAACCTGTTCGGATTTCCCATCACTTTTTTTTCTGTTTGTTCATCTTAGACATTGCTCCGAACATTTTCATACTGGAAGGCTGGTGATGTCCCAAGACAGTGAGAGTGTAGTTTTCTACTGCCTAATATTCGGTAAGGCTCATAAAGCATGTCGATGAAAAGAGACAAAAGAATGACTGTAGCATGGTGCAGCGACAGACAGCTGGCAGGATCTGTGTACGTACTATGTTTGTGCCCCATTTCATCTGAGGCCTTTGGAGGAAGCTGAAAATGCACATAGTTTGATAATCTCCAACTGTCTTTCTGTGCATGAACTCAAGAGCTGGAACTGAGTTACAAAGGATGCGAAGCTGGTTCCCAGCATTTGGCAGCCAGTTCTCAGGGGTCTGCATCCAGGATTTTAGATGATGTTCACCTTTTCGTGAGTAAACTTACCCAGGGTAGCTGAAATCACAGCTCTGGGTATTCTAACACCAGCTCGTCACATCTTTGAGCATGGCTACTTAAGGGTGGAAGATAAGACCTATATATCCTTCAGCAGGTACGGGGGATGGCTCCAACGGACGACATCTTTGACTTTGAAGAGACCAATCTGACCACTGTAGAGTAGCCTCAGGCTCCAAGTGAATGCCTCAATGCAGCCAAACTTGCTCAACATCCAAAAGAGGCCACAGATGGTATCTACTGCTTCTGTAAGGTTGAAGAATACAGTGTAGAGATCCTGATGTTAATTGCTGCTTTTCCTTCTTCTTTTTTTTTTCTTTCTCTCTTTCCTTCTGTTTAAGGACTTCTCTACCAACATGACTTGCGGTCTACAGCCACAATGAATTTTTTGATAGTAATGTTATCAATCCAGTGGAGCAGAAACATCCTAGTCTTCCGACAATCTTCCTATAGACATATTGAACATAGAGAACAGAAATGATTCTAGAGTTGCCTTATCTCTGAATTCTTCTTGCAGATATAAAGAACATAACATCTTTGAATTCTTGAGGCATTGTCGCAATACTCTATTTACTATGAGAAGCGGATATAGGAATGCAGTTTATCACTGCTTTCCTTTTAAGAATTCCAAGAGAGTAAAAAAGAGAGAAGCCACAGTTCTCCAGATCAGAGCAGATGACATGGTAACACCAAAGAGAAAAAGAAATGATCATCCACACTCCTTATATACACAAACCCCTTACTCTGTACGTACCCTCTGTTCTTTGGTCCAGGTCCCTCATGAGCTGAAAGTTTCTTTGCAGTTCAAATGGGAGGTTTTCGATACCTAGGGAGAAGAAAAGACACTGAGAATCACTGGACTTCATAGGCCTAACAGTTGTTTTTAAAGTACAGGTCCAAAACGGGACTCAGTTTTCCCTCCTTGGAACCGTTGGATTTATCTACAACAGCACTCATCATGCCTTTCTCAGAGGAGGCTGTGTCTGTGTCTCTCCACAACTAACTTTGCCATTTCTGCACAGCTTTCCCACCGTTTGTCCCCTCAAGGACCTTACTCTGCAAATCAGCCCCTCCCTTTCCTTGACTTTCAAACTTTGCCTCCAAGCTCCTTGCCATTAACCCAAATTCCCTCCTGGTATCCTCCAGCACTCCTCACACACACATGCACACGCGCGCGCGCACACACACACACGCACACTTCCACTCTGGTCTTCAGATCGTATTCAGAATGTTCTTTAAAAAAAAAAAAAATGTAAACCTCGTCAAGTCATGCTCCTGCTTTAAAATCACCTGGTGACTTCCTATCACACAATTCCTATTCCCATTTTGCACTTTCGGGCCCATGCTCATCTTACGCCGGCCTTCGTTCACGTCAGTCCCCCTTGTGCTCTGTCTGATCTGACCAGACTGGTCTTCTCCGAGTGCCCCCAACTTGCCAGGGCTTGTCCTGCTACCTGGCTTTCCGTCTCCTGCTTTCTCTGCCTGGAATGCGCTGCTTGGGGTTCTTCATCCCACCTCCACCATATCTGTTGGCCTACTAAACTCTTCGTTCTTCAAAGTTCAGCCCAACCTGGACTTCTCCAGACTCCAGGTGGCTTGGATTATGCTCTCAAGTTATTCTATCTCTACCGTTGTTCGCATTTATCCAACTGCAATTAATAATTAATTGTGCAACCAGTTATTTGGTATCTATCTCCCTAGCCTTCCTTCTGGAAGTGTCTGTCTTCTCTCTTATTTTGCTATGGCTTGCAGACAGAGGGTCTTAAATAAATACCTGAACAAGTGCATCTATACTTGTCTCCCCACGAAAGAAAAATCTCTTCTCGTGACTCCATTTCAAACTTCTAAAATGCCTCCACTGCTTTAACCTATAATCTCAGGTCTGCTGCCACTAGTTTACGGAGATTACTTTGAGTTACCAATGACTTACCAAATCAAACGATCTGTTATTAGTCCTATCTAAAAAAAAATATGTCTGCAGCAGATGGCCCCATCTTCTTGCCTTCAGCAACTTTTTCTCCTCTTAGGATCCCAAGTCTCATCACATACTTTCTGATAATTCCAATAGTGATGGTTTCTTTACCTGTCCCTTAAATGTTAATGCTTTCTTGAGGTTATACTTTAATCCTCTCATTTTCTCACTTTACTTGTATTCCCTGAATGAACTTGATCTCATCCACTCCTACAGTCCATACCTAAACCTGTCTAAATTGAATTAAGTATATTGCTATACTCCTGAAGTTGAATTAAGTATATTGCTGATGGCATCCTGTCTACCTCATTTCCCAAGCACGAGATCAAGGAATCACCTTAGATTCTTCCTTCTCTCTCAACCACTCATTCAATCAGTGCTGTCCTTTTTGCTCCTAAATATTCCTGTCACTCTCTCAGACCTGACCTTCTCTCATACATCAGTTATCTTCCTTTATTAAAATCACTCTACTTAAGAAAATCTGTTGGTTCTTCACTATTGAAAATGCAAACCTCTTAGCTTGGCTTAAAAGACCTTGTGCAATCCAGCCCCAGCCTCTTTTTCTAGCCACTTCCCAATCTTCCACCTTAGAGTCCTATGTATCAAACACTCTGACTTCACTTTTCCCTGACCTGCCATAAACCCATCATACCTTTGCTGATGCTTTTCCCAACCAGCAATTTCCTTTCTCTCTCCACACTGGCAAATACTCAGTCTTCAAAACTCTATTCAAATATCACATCCTCTGGTAAAGCTGTACCTACACCCCCAGGTAATTAGCCCTTCTTTCTCCAGTGCTATCAAGTCCTTTTAATGTATTTCTATGATTCCACTCATCACATTGTTTTGTAATCATTTATTAGCAGAATCTGTTATGAGCACTTGAGGGCAGGGTCTTTGTCTTACTCATTTTGCTATATCCGCAGTAGCTGCCATTAAGTCTGACCCAGAGCAGGGCCTCAATAAATGAATGAATGAATGAATGAATGAATGAATGAACGACTCCCAACACTAAGACAAATGTAAGCCCATAGGGGTGACAGGCTTTGTGAAGGGGTGGATTACACAAATGGCAAACATAACACCAGATTTCTATTTGAAAGGAATTGGATCCAAGAAGAGAAGCGTTCCAGTTGATCACCCGACAGTCACTCATAGCCCCCTAGCCCAAGAGAGACCGCTTCTGAGAAAGAATTGAGCGGAGTAGCTGCGAGCAGGTCTTTGTCGCCGCTCCAAATGGCAGTGGGTGATACACTAACACAATCGATTCGGAACGACTCGGGGTGAAAAAAAAAATATCCTGAAGCTGGAGGCCCTGGAGATGGGGTCGGCAAATATCTTCCCAGCTCTGCCCATTAGTCCTTCAAGAGCCATCCCCTCAGTCCTACCGCGCAGCCCCTCCCTCGTCTACACCCAAAAGCCAGGCCTCGACCCTGCTGCCCCGCCCCCTCTTTCTTCACACCGTCCAATACATTCTCTCACCGAACCCCTTCACAGTTGTGACTTTCTGACCACCGGGACTTCGGGGCCGTACGGCTCCTCAGTCCCGATTCCCGCCCCCCACCGCCACTCTATGACCCCTGACCCCCTCCTCCAGCCTGCTCTTACTGTCCAGATAATGTTCCAAATACATCCCCGCAGCCATCTTGAAGCAAAACAAAGCAACTTCCGATCCGCCCCGGAAGTGACTGAATCGCAACAGGCGCTGAAGCTATTATCCTTGGGTTGGAGCCTTTCCGCCCTTAAAAGAAGAGCTTCCGCCCTCACTAAATT